TAATAAAAGTATTTTTAGTGGTATTGTGTATTCTGGCCTCAGGTGGACTGACTCACACAGAGTCCTCGTCCAACCCCAGCTCTGTGCTGCTGTGTGAGGCTACAACAGGTTGCTGTTTTGCTGACAGGGGTGTCAGGCAGAAGGCATAGATCAATGGGACAGTAGGATGGACTTTGGCATCTGTTGGCCTAACTGACACCAGAACCTCTTTAGCCTTGGATCACGCTGTGCTGTCTGGACTGGCTTTGAGAACCCTCCTGTGCTGATGCTTTCAACAGAACAAACTGCTGTTCTGGGACTTTTTCCACCAAATCAAACAGCTTCCTGTGGCTTGTGCCAGACAGGAGGCCGGAGCAAAAAATGCAGTGATATTTCCTCTCTTGTAACTTTGCTCCTTAAAATGATAGTCTGGTCATTTTTAAGGTCAAATCCTGCAACAAAAAAGCTACCTGTCCAGGATGTTTCGTGCCTCCAGTCAAGTAAATGCAGAAGATAATCACCAGCCTCTCTGTGTGGAAAAACAGGTAAGGAAAGGATGGATGGATCTTTTTCAGCACTAAATCAGTCATAAAGGGCAGAACTCTTTGTCCAAGCTAGGGCTAACTGCTAGCCAAAAAAAAAAAAAAAAAAAAAAAACGAGCCCATTTTTCATGCTTTCAAAACAACTCATTCTCAAAAATGACATCTCTGTGAAAGAAGGCTTCATTAGCTGATAGTAAATCAACACTAAGACAACAAGCAGGCTATCAACAAAATACAATGCTTTATAAAAAAATTATCTGGCCTCCAGAAGACTGCTTTGTATGAATATGATGCTCAAAAAATGCAACATAAATCAGGGCTGCGTTTATATATTGAGCTTTACAGTGGGGTGTGAAGGTTTGGGCAGCCTTGTTAATTTTCCTGATTTACCTTTATAAATCATTAATTGTTTGGATAAAAAATATAAGTTAAATATAKATAGGGGACAAACACAGTGATAATTAAGAAGTGAAATGAAGTTGATATGATTTACATAGTGTGCAATAATTGGTTAAACAAAATTAGGCAGGTGCATAAATTTGGGCATTGTTGTCATTTATTGATTTCAAAACCTTTAGAACTAATTATTGGAACTCAAATTTGGTTTGGTAAGTTCAGTGACCCTTGAACTCCATACACAGGTGACTCCAATTATGAGAAAGGGTATTTAAGGGGGGCAATAGTAAGTTTTTCCTCCTCTTTTCATCTTCTCTGAAGAGTCGCAGCATGGGAGTCTGAAAACAACTTTCAAATGAGCTGAAAACAAAGATTGTTCACCGTCATGGTTTAGGGGAAGGATTATAGAAAGCTATCTCAGAGATTTCAGCTTTCAGTCTCTGTGAGAAACATTGTGAGAAAATGGAAGACCACAGGCACAGTTCAAGTGTAGGCTCCAAGTGGCAGAGCAAGAAAAATCTTGAATAAACAGAAGTGAAGGATGTTGAGAACAGTCGGAGTCAACCCACAGACCAGCACCAAAGACCTACAACATCATCTTGCTGCTGATGGAGTAACTGTGCATCGTTCAACTATTCAGCACACTTTACACAAGGAGATGCTGTATGGGAGAGTGATGCAGATGAAGYCTTTTCTCTGCCCACATCACAAACAGAGCTGCTTGAGGTATGCTAAAGCACATTTGGACAAACCAGCTTCATTTTGGAATAAGGTGCTGTGGACTGATGAAACTAAAATAGAGTTATTTGGGCAGAACAAGGRCCGTTATGCATGGAGGAAAAAGAACACAGCACTCCAAGAAAAACACCTGCTACCTACAGTAACATTTGGTGGTGGTTCCATCATGCAGTGGGGCTGTGTGACCAGTACAGGGACTGGGAATCTGTTTAAAGTTGAGGGTCGCATGGATTCCAATCAATATCAGCAGATTCTGGAGACCAATGTCCAGGAATCAGTGACAAAGCTGAAGCTGCTGAAGGCTGGATCTTCCAACAAGACAACCACCCTAAACACTGCTCAAAATCTACTAAGGGAGAGGAACAAGTASAACATTCTGGAATGGCCATCTCAGTCCCCAGACCTGAATATTATTGAAAGTCTGTGGTGTCACTTATAGAGAGCTGTCCAAGCTCAGAAACCATCAAAGCTGAATGAACTAGAGATGTTTTGTAAAGAAGAATGGTCTAAAATACCTTCAGCCACAATCCAGACTCTCATTAGAAGCTATAGGAAGCATTTAGAGGCTGTTATTTCTGTGAAAGGATGATTTACTAAATACAGAGTTTAGAGATAAATCAGGAAAAATAACAAGGCTGCCCAAACTTTCACACCCAACTGTATATAAAGCTAGTAGAGTTGCACGCTAGGGGCAGGGTGGGGTGGGTGTGAGCAGCTCGTTCACAAACATGATTGACACCTGGCTGATAAAGCTGCGTGAAGCTGGCACCCCACCCACGTGAAAAACTCCAGCAAATAGATTGAACGGTTAGTGCTCCGTTTGTGCTGATTTGTGCCGTTAAAATTTTTGTTTGTGCTGATTTCGTTTCTGAAATATTATGAATTATAATTTCAGCCAATGATGTTACCAGCACCCCATCTTGCTCCAAAAGAAGCCAAAGTGGTCTACTTTTTTAGTGCTCCGTTTGTGCTGGTTTGTACCGCAAAAGCTTTTTTTTTTGTGCTGCTTTTGTTTCTGAGTTATTAAAGATTATTAGGTCAGTGTTATGTTTTACTATCAGGCAATCATATGACCTCACCTAATTAAGAGACAATGAAATTCACCTGCTGCAGGCTGTAATGGTTCTGAATCAGTTGTGTTTCAGCAGTTTCTAATCACTAATACAGTCAGTGTGAAGTCGTCAGTGTAGGGATCTGTGTCTTGTGTCATGTCTTCCTCTTGTGGTCTCTTTGTGTCATCACTTCTCATCTCATCTAATCATCGGCTGAAATTATAATTCATAATATTTCAGAAACGAAAGCAGCACAAATGAAAATTTTAATGGCACAAACCAGCACAAGTGGAGCACTAAAAACGTAGACCACTTTGGTTTGTTTTGGAGCAAGATGGGGTGCAGGTGACATCATCGATAACTCAGAAAAAAAAGCAGCACAAACAAAACTTTTCACAGCACAAACGAGCACAAACAGAGCTCTAAAAAAGTAGACCACTTTGGTTTGTTTTGGAGCAAGATGGGGTGCTGGTGACCTTTGGATGACTTAAAAAATAATCTTTAATATTTCAGAAATTAAAGCAGCACAAACAAAGATTTTAACGGCACAAACCAGCACAAACGGAGCACTAACCGTTCAATCTATTTGCTGGAGTTTTTCATATGGGTGGGGTTTCAGCTTCACGCAGCTCAGCAGTCTGGTTGTTTTTCATGGTGTTGAAAAAAGTCACAAGTGTGTTTGTGTTTATGTATCAAAAGGAAAAAAATTGTATAGGTCCTCTGGACGGGTTCTTCTCTAATGAAACGTTTCGTCTCTCCTCCAAGAGACTTCTTCAGTCTGAGAGTTTCAGGCAAAATTCAGGCTTTTGAGTCCTGCCTCCATGTGACTGATACTCACATCACATGGCTATCGTTCACACCTAATTAATACCTGTTGTTAACAGGGGGTGGAGTGATACTGCCAATGGCAGCGCTGTAGGAGGGGGACAACTGAAAACGGAGGCCCCCACCTCTGTTTAATGATGGACGGTCTTTCTTCACAAAAATGGCTTCTTTTACTCCTCTCTCAAACCAACGTTCCTCTCTATCAAGAATGAGAACATCCTCATCTCTGAAAGAGTGACCGCTGGCCTGTAAATGAGTGAAAACTGCAGAGTTCTGGCCATTAGATGTAGCTCGTCTGTGTTGGGACATTGAACAGTGGTTGCTTTGTTTCCCCGATGTATAACTGGTCGCAGTCCTCCTGGCACTTAACAGCATATACAACATTGCTCTGTTTGTGCCGGGGCACCGGATCTTTGGGGTGAACCAGCCTTTGCCGTAATGTGTTTTGGGGTTTGAAAGCCACTGGGACATCATGTTTAGAAAATAAACGTCTCAGTTTCTCCGAAACACCCGCAACATACGGAATAACCACTGGTTTGGGTGTTTATGTATATAAATTATAATGTGTTTGTGTATAGTTGGTAAATATCAGTTATCGGCCACAACAGCAATAATTATATTGCATACTGATATCTGCTGAAATTTACATATCGGTGCATCCCTAATTCAGATCATAAAAATAAACTTCACTTGGCCTTGATACCTGCCCCCTGTGCTCTTGTACCMCTTGATATCACCAGAAGCCCTGATAGTGATTTTTATTTTAAAAAGCAGCTTTTAGTTTATGACAGAGAAAATCATGTTAAAACCAGTAAACACACCCTGCTTTAGTATTTTTGCTATGAGGAACAATGTTTTTAGGTAAAGAACCGGGACTAAAAACATTTGTTTGAATATCCACTTTAGAAATATTGGAGCAGCTGCTCCATTTACTCCTGAGCAGGAACTTGTGAATGCAAAAATATGTTCAACAAACACCCAAGAGGTGCAGACGTAAAAACTTGAAGAACGCTCCTACTCTTATGGACCACAGTTGTGAGACACAAACATGAGCTGTAGAGATGGAAAAAGAAAAGGTCTTAATCTGATCCAATTTATCAGCCAGTAACTGATAACTAACCACCTGAAGAGACTATTCATAAGAACATGCAGGTCAGCAGTCAGTCCCACATCAACCTGTCACCAACCAGACCCTGACCCCACTCCAAGATGGACCTAATGTTTCCCTGTGGAGACCCAACTGTGTTCAGCAGACCTGTTATCAGTTCCTCTGTTCTGCAGCTGGACCAGCCTGGAAGGAGTCGTAAATTCAGCCAATGAGAGGAGACCACGTTAAAGATAATGAAGCTGACCGTGAAGAGATGTGGACACTGAAGGACTTTTTCATTTTTCAGAACTATAGTACTATCTATACCTATTTGACTGAACATCACTTCAAAAATGACCATACTGTTCCTTTAAAGTTACCTGCTTTTCCCGTCTGGATCTCTATGTTCTGGCTGAAGCGTCCACAGCCGGCTGAAGTTCTGGCTCGGACTTGGAAGATGTATTTGGTGCCCGGCTTCAGCCCAGTTACCCGGGCACTGGTATTTTTAGATTTCAGAGTGGAGTAACTCTGCTCTTCATGATCCTGTTGAAGAAATAAACACAGTGAAAGTTTGTGGAGGTTGTGAGTTTACTTAATCTGAAAACACAGACAAAAAACACAGCTACATTTGAATCTTTTACCACGTGAAGTCATCAATAAAACTGCAAATCACTAAAATCTACTTTTTAGATAATCTTTACATCAGCTGCAATAATCAGCCAATCATAGCCTTCCCCAAACCTGATTTCTTCTAGGCTGAGCTAAAAAAAAATAAAAAAATTGACACAAAATGCTTCAAGTTGAATCACTTTTCCACTGTCACCAATGTGCTGTTAGAGTTGAAAACTAAGGTGAAGTGAAAAAATAATCATCATAATCTGCTGCCTACTTTGGACAGATACCTTTTGCAAACCATGAATTCAAAATGTCCTGTATGTGAATCTAATAAAACTGTAATGAACAGACGGATTGGAAATCAATCTGTCTTATTTAACTGCTTTTTTTGAACAATACCCTCAAAGTCAATATTTGTTGTCAGTTAGCACAAAAATAGAATTTTATTTCCTTTTATATATTTCATTCTGTAAAAGTATTTTTTTGGTTATTAAAAACTAGGGGTCGACCGATGAATCGGCCGGCCGATATTTTTGGCCGATATTCACGTTTTTCCTTTGTATCGGTATCGGCCGATACGCGCCTGCTCTGGCCGATCCAGCAGCCATGCTCTCTTTGCTCACGTGCGCGCATGCATTACAGCTCCCTCCCCGGTGGAGAGCGGGTGGTGATTTGTGAGACAGAGCACAAATAACAACAAAGGTAAGTTTTCAACWTTTAACTTATTTTAACTGTCTGATTTAGCTGTATCTTAACTCTGTTTCAGACTAGGAGGGGGAGAAAAGAGAACAGAGGTGTTTTAAGTTTCTATTTTGAGGAAGAGGTGATGTCGACGAGCGCTGTTTTTTTTTACTTTCACTTCCGACGTGCCACTGAAAATAGCGTGTCCACGTTTTTTTAATGGTGGTTGAGTTACTTACAGGKTGTATAGAATGTTTCCTTTCCATACTGAATTAGACAAAAAGTCTTCAGCATTTTCTCGCTGTCTCTTTCATAAAAGCACCGCTGCCCACCGCGTTGCATGTAAACCAGACGGCTCGTTTGATCTTGTTTGTCTGACCGCAGCAAGAGTCGCGACGCAGGTTTTCGTCGGTGTGCATCTCAAACTGTGATCTAAGTTTCTTGTTAATATCAACGGGTTTAAATGCAGTTTTGCCCAGTGAGGGAAAACAAGCGCTTATCGAAGCAGAGCTACTGTAAGCTAAGCTCCATGTGTGTGTGTGTGTGGTGGGGGAGTTTTTGTGTTTTTGTTGCAAGTCCTCACAAAGATAGCAAGACATTTGTTTCCCTCTCCCTCTGTGTCCATTTTTAATGTTCTGTTTGTGTTTTTACAAAATAGATGGGATAATAATAAAAACATTGCCATTTTATATAGAAAAAATGTGTTTAATATGTAAATCAAACAGATTTGTACTGAATTTATGTTTTTGTTTCATTTCAAAGGAATGGCAGAAAAACTGAATCCTTTGTGGCAGCACTTCAGTCAGCCAACAACACGAGGCAAGGCTCAGTGCAACATCTGCAATTTGCACATTAAGGCTCAGTTGGTTCTCATTTCTTAAAAAAAATTTTTTTGTTACATTGCTGTTTACAAATGTTCCAAATTTTCTCATGAAGGACATCTGCACTAAGGCCTCATGCTGCTACATAAAGAGCACAAATATTTAAGTGTTAAAATAGTTATTGTATGTATGTACTGTATGTATGTATGTATGTGT